TGAAAGAGCCTGTGACAGAGCTTGGGCACCTGTGCTTAAAACATGGAGGATTTCAGAAGTAAAATACTCGGTAAAGAAAACATTCTTTTTTATCTTTCTTCTCCACATCCTTCTTGGAGGTGGAAATGACACTAAAGGTGTCATTATTGCGGCACCTTGTGCCCACCAACAAGTTCTCATGCAGGATATTTTATCCAAAACGATTGAACGGCAAGTTTGGCGCAAAGTTCGTTCGAGGAAATTTTGGCCAACGTGCCGTAGAAACTGGAATGACGGCGATTTTATTACCAATTTGCGAGTAGACAGGGGTACGTTTCTTCTTATTGTTGAGAGACTGACCCCTTATATTCACCGAGAAACGAGAAGAATGAGGCAGTCCATTGATGTCGATGAAAGAGTTGCTATGGCGTTATGGCGATACGGAGAATGCACAGTAAGCTCTTGGAGCCCAACCTCCCCGCGTATCGGTTGCTAAATCAGTATTTGAACGCCAGTGTGTGGAATCCCTTTATCGGACTTCTTTAGTTGTCGATAACTTTTAGTGGTCGATCACAAATAGTTGTCGACAACTAAATCCCTAGTCAGTGGAGGGCCTTAGTTGATATAACCAATTATCTTGTTACCCCCAGCGACGCAGCACCACAGTTTCTTTAGAAACTTTCCGCTTTTACTTATATTGGTGACTGTTACGTATTCCTCTCTATATTTTCATCGTCAATTGTTTTAATTAGTGCATAAATCGTAGTTCTCAACTTTTGAAATCTCGTAAATTGAAGAGGGCGTGACTTCCAGGTCGCAGCACAAAATATTCCTGGTAACTTACAGTTAACATTTTTCAGCGTAGCAACATTCACATTAATTGTTCACTGCTGATGAAATATTTTTAATCAATCAAACACTCCCTTCCCCGCACTGAGTTTACCACCATACCCAGTCTAAGCAGTTTATCAAATTGGAACATTTTATCGCTTTAGATTTGCATTGCTCTTTCTGAAAGACAAAACAAACAAGACGGCTGAAAAGTGTGTCTGTGAGAACAAACAAAGGAGAGAGAGAGAGGATTTAAAGGCAGATGTCACGACGACAGAATCGGCAACCTGACTGAGGCAAACAGTTTGCGATGGAGTTAAAAGAAATCCACTTACAACTGAAACAGCGACTTGTTCATAAACGTATGCCCTCGCCAGAACTTGTGAAAAAGTTGGAGAGCTTTCAGAACGCCTTGACAGAAAATCAGAACGAGCAACCCCAAATAGTGGCATTTAACAACACAAGTTTCATTTTTAGATGCGCCCATTCGTGGTTTTAATTGAGCACCTACTTTCTAATTTTCGAAGGGTCGCGCTGACTTCAAGATTTAGGTTGTTACGACCATTTTCTTCCTCGTCTGCTCTGACTGTCCTGACTTGTTCAGTTTATGGCTCGAACTCTTCAGAAAAAAAAGAAAGCATACAAACGCAATTCACTAACAGAAAATTTGTTTTTCTTCCATTTAAACTCAACGTTCAAAACATCATTCGAGCAACTTTTTCAGCTCTTGCTCGTTTATTTTTTATTTTCCCAAGAAGCATTTAATGTGGTAGCTGATGAACAAGACGACAATTTTCCCTGTTTCAGTATTTAACTGTGACAACTCGCTTTTTTCAAGTTAAGTTGGCAAAATACTTCGATTAAAATACATCGTAGCGCGCGTGTTGTGCGCGCAACCAAAAAGGTGTGAGTTTATCACATTTTATCATTTTATCACTATTGTTTCTTGAGCACTTGCCATGTACCGATATTTTTTATGCAATTGCAACACTGCTGCTAGCAAGCTGAGCGTGCATAACTCTGGGTCGGAAAATGTTACAAATATTGCAAAAGGCTGTGTAACAAAGAATACAGCCTAGCCACTCTTCCTCGGAGACTCAGGGGCTGTGAGTCGATTTCAAGTAAGGGCGGAAGAGCCCCTGGGGACATTGGGTGCTTACCATTTGTAAGAAAAATCCGATTGGTGTAACCGTGGCATAAAGGTAAGGGAGTTTCCGAATTCATGGACCAACCGGATACGCGGATGAGATTGAGCTTATCATTTATCCATCAGGCGTTTCGTCCCGCTCCAACCCATGGCAACCCAAGCGGAAAGGCCTGGAAACGGAATTTTATGACCTTCCGTTCCGAATCATCCTCGGAGACCCAGGGGCTATGAGTGAAATCGACTCACAGCCCCTGGGTCTCCGAGGATGGTTCCGAATGGAAAAAGAGGAGTACCTCTGAAGGTACTTCACGATTTCCGAAAGGAATTCCGGAAAATTACCTTTCCATTTGACTTCAAACCGAAATTTCCGAATTTTTTGGCCGAATTTCCGAATTTTCGAATTTTCGTGGATGACCTTCAGCAAGCGCTTAAAGAAAGCTTAGCTGTGTTTCCGGTAAGCGAATCATCTGAACAAAAGCTTGTTATCGAGAACATAATGGGAAGGAGAGATGTTTTTTGGACAGTTACCGACGGGGTTTGGAAAGAGCTTAATCTTTCAACTTAGGGTGCGGTTCAAATTCTTGAGCTCAAAAGGCCACGGATTCTCTTCTAGTCCCTTGTTCATTGTCATTTCACTTCTTTTGTCGATTGTTGAGGACCAAGTTAAATACCTCAAATCAATGGGAATCGATGCTGCTTTCATTGGGGAAAACAAAACCAAAGACCAAGAATTATTGGATGGTAAGGGTGGATTTGCTTTATTGTAAATGTCAGCTTAGTACAGGATCATCTATCCACATCTAATAAACAAAAGTTTCCACGCTTAGCTTTTCTTGTTTTTCAACATAGGTTGTATTGCATCTGTGCATACCTTGACAAATGTTCCTTCAGTAGAAACTGAGAAACAGCAACACTGATTTCATTTTCTTGTTTGGGTATTCTGCCCACGGGAAATTTTTACCCATGCCTCTTTGTTGGTATCTGACACTACCAAGGATGGTGGCTTGGGCCTTAATGGCAAAATTTCAAATGGGATTCGAAAGCCCCTCTTTTTTTAAACTTACCTAACCAACTAGCCGAAAGAGATTAGATTTTGGCCCGCACAGAAAGCTGCGTAAGCGCCAGTTGCTCGACATACCTGGGTGGCCCGCGCGACGAAATAACTTCACGGGATTGGCAAAGTTTCAGTCACAGCAAATTATACAAAAATTCTAGAAAGATTTAAGTTTACATCTCACCGAACGTTTAAAGCGACATATTAACGCCTTCAACCATTGTTTTATACGAACCTCGCAAACTTTTAACACATTCTCTTGTGATACCTGCGAAAGTATTCAGTATAATTTCCGGTAAGATTTCTGCGGACAATCTGATCGATTTCTCTTGCATTGTGTGCTGAGACTGAAACTTTTCACCTCGCGCAAAGCTCCTTCACACGGCCCAAACAAACATGGGGAGAAACTGAGCTTCTTGTACATATCCGTGTTAGAACACACGAAAGGGCTCTAAAGCACACTTCACTCTGATTGGGCAGAAAAACACAAAGATTTTCTGGCACCAATCAGATGCCAGAACGACTGCGATCGTTTGGAACTAGTCTTGTAAGACAAGGACCCCAGAGGCTCTTCCGCCCTTGCTTGAAATCAACTCAGCCCCTGCGTCTCCGAGGACGCCTAACCACCCGACCCCTCACGGTTTGTACAAGAAATGCGGGAGGAGCTGGGAGCTAGACTCGCTCTCAGGTTTTTTCATTCATACATACTCAACATGGCGGCTGTAGTTGGTGTACATTTAGGGAATACCAGCGCATCGTTAGCTATCCACAAGGTGAGGATTTCGTTCCTTGAAAATTCTCAAATGTTTAATGAAACCTTTGAGCTAATTTATATGCTATTCATCCAAGGCTGGAAGAACGGATATTATAGCGAATGATGCTGGGGACAGAGTCACTCCAGCTCTCGTCGCGTATTCTGGAAAAGACAAGGTTGGTTTCGCTAGCCTGAAAAAAACAGTAACAGTATCCCTTTGAGGTTAAGGATGAGAGACAATTGAATAAAGGGAGTAAGACTCTAAAGAAACTGTGATGCTGCGTTGGCGGAGGAGTATTACAAGATAATTTGGTTCTATCAACCAAGTTGTTAATGTGAATTGGCCACCCGAAAGAGTTTCTTAGCTGACGTTTCAAGCATTAATTATCCCTTCATAGGAGCAAATTCATCGTTCGCTCTGACGAAAGGCTTACGCTCGAATGGTCAGCCTAGAAACTCTTTACGAGGGCCAGTTTACATTATAAACTTAGATACAATGAAAATATATGAAGTTCATATATTTTGAACTGCGGTGTTAGATACGTATGATGCACGATCCTCGCAGTAGATAGCGCGTATATTTCATTGTATCTGATAGCGCATATATTTCATTGTATCTGATTTATCACTTTCACGGGTTTATTACGAATCAACTTAACGGCCTGCTCCCAGTTGGCTTGTTAGCTCAATTGGTAGAGCGCTGCACTAGTATCGCAGAGGTCAGTGGTTCGAATCCCGTACAGGCCTGATTTTTTTCAG